CCCTTCACACACTCATAGCACATAAACCTGTGCCAAAATTGTACACTAAATCACATAATTAATTGGCAATGGATATACTCACTCATGCAGTCCTTTCTCTCTTTATTGGACTGTATTTCTATTTTTATCTTATAGAGTCAATTTGTTTAAATTTGCTGATATTCTTATTAAAAGAGGTGTCGTCAATGCTATTAATCTTGATGGAGGTGGATCAAACACTTTACTAGTAGAGGGAACTCTTGTAAACTATCCTGGTGACTACTGGTATAAACACTTTGATATTGTGAAAAATAGCAATTTTTGTTTTTATCTGTAGTCATGAGGATAAGAAGCTTTACTTATGTCCAAGGAAAGTATTAGTCTCGTCGCCCCGCCCTTCAGAAAGCGAAGGGGCGGGGCGACAAGACTAGGAAAGTATCAACAGTGTTGTGTGTTCATGATGTTGCTAATGACACTGATAGTTCTAGTAATGGTGATGGTGGTGGTGGGTCTACTCCCTGTGTCTCTCCATGGTGTGGGGAGAAATGTGAACTACTGAACTGTGATGAAACTGATTGCAATGGAAATGGAGTTTGTACTAATGGTAAGAAAGAACATGTAAGGGAAGAATTTGGAAAATGGAAGAAAGAGAGAGAGAGGAGGAAAATTTAAAGAGAAGCAAACTCTAAAAAATATGTGGATGAAAATATGAGGTTTTACTTTTTATTACATTTAGGATCTTGTAAGTGTAAAGCAGGATGGTATGGTAGCCTCTGTGAGAAATGTTAGTCATTTTACTTCTCTTTAAAAATGCTCAATATAATTGCTCTATTTCTATTTCTCTTTCCTTCCTTCTCTCTTTTTAGGGATGGTACAATGAGTCAGACGGTTGTGTTTGCTACTTCTGATCATCAAGAAATAATTATACATTCACTCCATGTTTTGTTTTTAGTCATTAATTAATATTTAATATTATTTTTGTACGTTAATTGCTTCTTTTCAGTGCTCGCTATGCAGGGTGTGTTCATTATGATATTCAAACTTGACAAAAATTAGCAATATAATATCTAAAAATATATATTTAACTTTGGTTAGGCCTACTAACATCACATGACTAAACTCAATACACTACTGGTACATGAAGATACACTAATAGCATCATCAACTTGTTGAAGTAATACAGATATTTCCTCAGTCTTGGCATAAAATAAAGCAGTGTGACCTTCATTAGATTTAATAGTTGGATCAGCTTTCCATTCTAATAATAACTTAACTACTTCATAATGTCCATTAGCACTGGCAACCATTAAAGCAGTAACACCATCTTTGTTTTGAACATCAGAATCAATTTGTTCCTTCAGTAACAGCTCAACTACTTGAGCATGTCCATTTTGACAAGCCAGCATAAAAACATTCAAACCATCTTTGTCTTGAACATTAGGATCAACTTGTTCTATCAGCAACAGTTCAACTATTTGAGTGTGACCATTTGCACTAGCCAACATAAAAGCATTCAAACCATCTTTCCTTTGAACATTAGGATCAACTCGTTTCTTCAGCAACAGTTCAACTATTTGAGTGTGACCATTTTGACAAGCCAGCATAAAAGCATTCCCACCATTATTTCTTTGAACGTTAGGATCAACTTTTTTCTTCAGCAACAGTTCAACAATTTGAGTGTGACCATTTTGACAAGCCATCATAAAAGCATTCCAACCATCTTTGTCTTGAACATTAGGATCAGCTTGTTCCTTCAGCAACAGTTCAACTATTTGAATGTGACCATTTTGACAAGCTGACATAAAAGCATTCCAACCATTTTTGTTTTGAACATTAGGATCAACTTGTTCCTTCAGCAAAAGTTCAACTATTTGAATGTGGCTATTTTGACAAGCAAACATAAAAGCATTCCAACCATCTTCTCGTTGATATTTATAATCGGCTCCTTTACTAATCAATAGTTCAACCACCTCATAGTTACCATAGTAACTAGCAATCATTACAGCATTTGATCCATTTCATTTCTTCAGGTGAGGATTAGCATTAGCTTGTAGTAACATGTGAATGATTGAAATGTGATTATGTTCACTTGCTATCATTACTGCAGTCCATCCTTTATTGTCCTGAATGTTAACATTAGCTCCAGCAGACAGTAAACTGTGTACAATGTCCTCATGTCCTCTTTCACAAGCTAACATTAGTGCTGTCTTGCCTTCTTCATTAGTATGATCAATATTAACAGTTTCCAGTTGAAGAAGAAACTCCATTGCTTCATTATTACCAGCTGTGACTGCCTCAAGGAGAGCTAGTTCAAAAGTGAAGTTCATATTCTCATCTTCTTGAAGGACAGGATGATCATTAATGTATAAACTAAATATACCAATGAGACGCATAAACTGTAACTTTCCTCCAGTATATTCTATTAGACTATCAGCTGTAGAATCAAGTACTGTGTATTTAATAACTACTGATCCCCTAAAAATTGTGATATGTTTTAATAACGATTGTGCAAGTCCCACTGGTAGCAAATGCTTAATTAGAAGAGCTAAACTATTTATATTGTTACCATACCATGGATTTTGAAGCTTTATGATAATATGCGGCATGTTAGTTAGATCTGGTATGTGCTCCTGGTATATTTCCATTAATGACTTGTGAAGATGTGCTACATTAGTCGAAAATCTAAATGTGTCTGCCTTTTTCTTGTGATTTTGTAGTTCACTCACAATGTTCAGCTTTTCTTCGTCACCAAAAGTAACACCTTTCAGAAACTTTTCACTTACATCCACTATCAAGTTGCAGTCAATGAAGTCATAAAATGGTTGAATAATTTTAAAAGTTTCATTTAACGATGCATTTGTTAGCTTGTCATTCCAGTTCATGTACGCTTCAATCCATCTTGTTAAATTAATGAGTAGCTTAGGATCTGAAGCTTCTTTTTCATCAAAAGCTGTGCGTACCTCAATTTCTAAATCAGTAAATGATTTGTTCAGCTCTATCAGTGAATGCAAAACTTGTTCTTCATCTTCTTTTGTGTTAAACATTATTTTCTCTTTTTGTGTAGCACCAACAGCAGCTCCATTACTAATGTTAGGTACTGAAGGATGTCCTTCAATCATTTTTTTGATATTTTGTGCAAGAGTGTTTTCTCTTCTAATTGTCAATGCAGTAATGACATCATTCCAAGTTGCCTCAGGAGAAACAGAGAGCCATTTTGAATACAATTTCCTCTTTTGGTCGTTCACACTGGAACTCTCAGCTTCAATTATTGATACATCA